GGCCGTCCCGGGCAGCCTGTCCTCCCGGGGTGGCCGTCCCGGGCAGCCTGTCCTCCCGGGGTGGCCGTCCCGGGCAGCCTGTCCTCACGGGGTGGCCGTCCCGGGCCTCGGTGTGCTCACTTGCGGTCTGAGGACTGGACAGGGGCCGGTCTGCACACGAGGCAGCTATGGCCGCGGGCGGGCGGGCGGGCGGGTGTGAGAGGCTTCGGGGTTGGGGTGGCGTGGCCATCAGGTGGTGCCTTTCCCGGGCTGTGGAAGTTTGGCTGTCTTGCTTCACTTGAGAGATTTTCCCCCGTACAGAACCAGAGCTGGAACCTCGGGCTAGTCGGGGCTTCGTCATGGCGTAACCCGGTCTTGCCCTGTGGCCGCTGGCCTGCAAGGGCGGCACAGGCCCAAGCGTGGATGTCCTTTGGTGGTGACTTCTTTTTCTGAGAGACTGGGTCAGCGGGGCTCCATGTTTCTAGGCTGGTTTCTTGTTAGTTTATAAGTGTCTGAATATATTGGGTTGTCAAAAAAGTCATGATGCATTTTTGCATAGTAAAACACATATTTCTGTGTAAAACTCTGTCCCTCTTTTGAATTCCTAAGATTATCCAGTGTCTGACGTGTGTGTGACTTGCGTAGTTTTGCTCTCTCATTTTTTTTTGGATAGAACTGGGATGCAGAAGTGTGAGAGGATTCACCAGAGACAGAGTGGGGTGCAGAACAGGTGGAGCCACTGCTGAGGGGAGCAGCGGGAGACAGGAGAGGCCTGCCGCGCCCTGCGGGTCACGCCACACCGAGGGGCGGGGATCGAACTCATGCCGCAGTGGCTGCAGACAGCTTGACAGCGCTGAGACTTTAGACCCTGTGCCACGAGGGAGGGCCCTTGGGTGGCTTCTCTTACAGTTAGTGTTTGCCAGCAGGATTAAAGGGCTGCTTTCAGGGTAGAATTTGGGATGAAGATGATCAGTAACCTTTTAGTTTTCTTTGAAAAATTCAGAAGAGTGGGTAGAATATCGGGTTTAAGATTTTGGGGGTTTTTGTCACTTACCTTGAAATACTTCTAGATGGACAAGAAGTTGAAAAACGTGTGCTTGCGGGCGGGGTCGTGGTCTGCAGAGCTGTCTGGGCTTGTCGCTGCGCACTGTGGCTGTGTGTGAGTGTGTGGAGTGCTGAGCAGTTTACACGCGTGCAGCCACCCCTCGGCTGCCTCACGCTGGAACTGTGCAGTCACCTCTACCTCCCACCCAGCCCAGGGAACCCCGATCTGCTTTCCGTCTCCAGTACTGTCTGGGATCACCAGCGTTACGTAACTGGTGTGATTTTTTTTTTTTTAAAACAAAGCTGTTTTCATTGTAAAACATACCTGAAATTTACCATTCTTTGAAGTACCGAACTCCATTCGCACTGCTGTGCAACCATCGCCACATTAGCTCCCCAGGGAGACTTTGCCGTTAAACGGGGCATCAGTCTCAGGGCACAGGCTGCACTTTCTGATCGCTTAAACAAAGAACCTCACCGATGCCATCATTAAATGTCATTTCGCATTGCAGAGCCGAGTTGCCCAGCACAGTAGCCGCTAGCCACATGCGTCTTTCAATTCATAATTTAAATGAAATAAAATTGACAAATTCTGTTCCTCTGCCAGCTCCATTTCAGGTTCCTTTTGACCGGCGGCTGCCACATTCGCAATGAGACGAAAGTGTCGGGAACACTTTCATCAGCCCAGAAGCTGGACAGTGCTGTTCTAGCATACGAGTCGTTCCCATTTTAGCCCACGGTCTAGCCTGAGAGATCACTCGCCCTCTGCTGTTCTTTGCCCGGCCACGGGGTGGGGCAGCCCCGAGCACCCCGAGGCTGGCGCGGGGCCTCGTCCTCTAGGTGTTCCAGGTTTCGAAACAGGCGCCCGCCACAGTGGCCAGCATCCCGGGCGGATTGGGTTGTGATGGCCATTTCATTAGCTGGTCGGGCAGCTGAGATTTCACTCTCGTCTAGATGAGGATGACGACGAGCCAGAAGATGAAGACCAGGAAGTCGGGGATAAGACGCTGCCCCGGTGGCGGATCTGGCTCACAGCCGAGCGGGCCCGAGACCAGAGGCACTGGCGGCCGTGGCGCCCTGATAAAACCAAGAAGCAGACGGAGGAAGACTGTGAGGATCCAGAGAGACAGGCAAGTGCCCCCAGGGGGTCGCCCGGGGGCGGGGGGCTTTCTTCTCCCGCTGCTGTTCGGCTGCTGAGCAGAGTGGCCAGCGTGCTGAGCTGGTGCCCCTGTCCCTCACTCTGGAGACGTCCCTCTTTCTGAATCCCAGAGCAGACTGTCACTTGACCAGATAATGCCGTCCCGGAGCAGGAGGCCCGGTGCCCAGGGTCACCCCAGGGCTGGAAACGATGGGCTTCCCGGTTTTGCTAGTTTTCAGGGGGAAGCCTGGAGGCTCAGGGTAGAAAGTCCACGTTGCATCCCCGTTCTTGGATCCACAACGGTGCCTACGTAGGCCGACGGGCAGTCAGGTCGCCTGGACGTAGAGGCCTTACTGGGACGGTCGGTCTGCAGCTCGTCCTGCCGGGGAAGGAACCGGCTGCTTGAGTGCCGCGCGCCCCTCTGTCCTGGGCCAGCAGCACGGCGCGTTTTACAGTAAGTGAAGTGAGACGTGATTTGGGACTGGGGACTGGCCCACTCACACCAGGACCAGCCACGCTGCTTGCTGCTGCCACAGGTACAGACTAGGCCTCTTCCCAGGAGCAGCCGTGGGCGTCCGTGCGCCTTCTAGCCGGACACCCGCCCTTGCGCTGCCTACCCTGTCACCGGTGCCCAGACCAGGTGCTGCAGGTCTGTCACCAGGTGCCCCAGGCGCTCCTGGGGCGAGTGCACAGTCCAGCAGCCTGGATGCTGAATGAATACTTCTCTGATGCTGGAGCCCCTGGCAGGAGGGTGAGCACAAGAGAAGGCCCCAGGTAGCCTGGAGCATTCGAGAAGGGGCGACGGGAGGTACCAGGCAGCAGTTAGGGGGACAGGAAATTGGGAAGAGAGAGAGGTAGTCTTTGGGCTTCTCGGGACACTGAGCCACAGCGTGAACCGCCTCTCGCCAGGTGAGGCTGCGTCTGACTGCCCTCCCCTGGCTGAAGCTGAGCTTTCGGGGAAGATTGGGGGCTGGGTGTTGAGGCTTCTCAGAGCTCCAGGTGACCCTTCCTAAGGCAGTTGGCTCTCAGGGCCCAGAATGCTGGCAGTCTCCTGGAAGCTGAGTTCTGGAGCAGACTGCTGTGAGAAATTTGTCACTTTGGTTTTTTCTGTAATCAACGCCTGACGGGAGAAGCTTTCTGATTAATTGATGTTTCCGGTCAGTGCTGGAGGCCCAGACGGTTTGGTTTGGTTGTGCTCGCGTTTTGATTTCCTCTCCACTGAGTGCAGAAAACAAGCAGATGGACAGCACCTCGGACAAGGGCAGGCTGCTCGCCTCCTGCCTCCGGGTTAGCGGGAAATCAGCTGCCGCCGTGCAGCGTGGAGCTCTTTTAGCTTCTCTAGTGTTCGTCTTTCCTTCCTGTTCTTTATCTGCCTTAAAGCATGTGTTTCTTTTCCTAAAGCAGCTTTGTACAAAGAAACCACAAATTAGTCATTTCCCACCTTCCAGTTTAAAGTTCACAGCTGAAAGGACCGAAGCAGTTCTGCGTGTTTTCAGAAACGGCTGGGAGCCGACCGTCACAGCTCCCGGCGTGCGCCTGCTCCGTCCTCTCGGGGAAGCGGGGCTGCGCTTGGGCCTCCAGCTGGCCTGGGGCCTGGCACTTGTTTGCACCTCAGAGAAAACCTCACCCCTGCCTGTTTTATATTTAAGTGAAGCGGGGTGGATCCCTAGCACCGCCCTGGAAACTTGGGAGCGGTTTTCCTGTTTGTTCCATGGCGAAGGTGAGCCCTGATGGCCCCCTGGGCTCTGTCTGGTCGTAGGTGCTGTTTGATGACATCGGACAGTCCCTGGTCAGACTGTGCAGCCCAGCCCTGCAGTTCCAGCTGGTGGCCGCCTTCCTGCACTTCCTGGGCGTGCCTTCGGGCTTCAGCCCTCCGGCCTGCTGCCTCTACCTGGCCATGGACGACAGCTGCATCTTCGATGGTGGCCTTTACGATGAGAAGCCGCTCACGTCTCTCAGCCTTTCATCTTCCGGCGTCAGCTGCGTGGGCCGCACAGACCCGCTGGGCTGCCGGCGCTGGGCCAGGGGCCACGACCGAGGGGGCGAGGAGTTCATCCGCAACCTCTTCCACCTCGTGACGCCTCTGTTTTCCGGCAAGGAGAGGTCTGAGCTCTGCTTCTCCTGGTTGCGGTATGAGCTGGCGAAGGTAACTACAGCCGCCCTTTCCCCGTGGGGACGGACTGTGTCAGTGCCTCGAGTGGGCTTGCAGGCCTTGGCGCTCCTGGGGGACTGGGCACAGCATTGGCTCCTCAGTCTGGGGCCTGAAAGGCACCTGGAGTGTGGCTGCTCTTTGTGAAGGGCTGCAGGGCCGAGACAGCAGGAGGAGGAGCATAAGGGGAGGACAGTAGGGGGAGGAGGAGAGGAGAGGGAGAGGAGGAGGGGAGGAAAAGGAGAGGAGGAGGAGGAGGGAGCAAGGGGGGAGGGGAGGAGGAAGAGGAGGATAGCAGGGGAGGAGGAGGAGAGCAGAAGGAGAGAGCAGGGGGAGGAGGAGGAGAGCAGGGTGAGGTGGGGGAGCAGAGGGAGAGGAGGAGGGGGAGAGCAGGAGCGCAGGAGTGAGCCCTTCTTGGCCTGAGGCTGCTGATATGGATTCTTTGTCGCCGGCCTGGTTCCATGGCTGCCAGAGCTAAGAGCTGAGCTCTCGCTTAAGCAGGGCCTGAGGACGGGGCTCGCTGAGATGAGCCAGGTGCAGCCTCAGCTGCTCCCAGATCTGCTGCTGGAACTTGGGCCCGACGGTCCTGCCCTCTGCCGACCGGCCCTCGCCCGAGTCCAGGCGGGTTCTGACTCTCCTTTCACACTGTACACCGGGCCGCAGGCACAGGCTGTCTCAGGCGTGGCAGCTGCCTTTGAGGGGCGTGGGGTGTGGCGGCAGGCTTGTGCCCTTGGGGGGCCGCTGTGTTTCCCGGCCCAGCGCCCAAGGGACTGCCAGAGGCAGGGCGTGCGGGTGCTCGGTGGCCGTGGCGCTGACAGTATTGACGGGTGACTGTAAGATGAGAGCAGCTGGCATCTTTCTTTCCTTCTTCCCTGTAGGTCATCTGGTGCCTGCGCACTAAAAACAAGAAGAGACTAAGGTCACAAGGAAAGAACTGCAAAAAACTGGCCAAGAACCTCCTTAAGGAGCCAGAAAACCGCAATGACTTCCGCCTGTGGGCGCAGTACGCACATCTGGAGTGGCTGCTGGGCAACGTGGAGGACGCCAGGAAAGTGTTCGACACGGCGCTCAGCCTGGCCGGGGGCGCGGGGCTGAGGGACCCCCAGCTGTCGGAGCTCAGCCTGCTCTACGCCCAGCTGGAGGCCGAGCTGCTGCCCGGCGCGGGCGCGGGCGGGGCCGCGCGAGCTGTCCACATCCTCACGCGGCTGACTGAGAGCGGCCCCTACGGGCCCTACGCCGGCCAGGTCTTGGCCGTGCACATCCTGAAGGCGCGGAAGGCTTACGAGCACGCGCTGCAGGACTGTCTGGGCGAGGGCGGCGGCTCCGACCCGGCGCCCGGCGGCTGCTCCGGCCGCGTGGTCAGCGTGGCCAAGTGCTTCATGCTCTTTCAGTATCTGACCGTGGGCATCGATGCCGCTGTGCGCGTGTACCGGCAAGTGTTTGCCGAACTGAAGGACTCGGTTTCCCCCAAAGACTCTGACCTGGCGGCGGGGGCCAGACCCCCGAGTCCGAGCCCCAACCTGGAGCCCCTCACGCTGCTGCACACGAGCCTGCTCCGCTTCCACATGGCCGTCAGCGCGTACCCGCTGGCGCCGCTGCGCGAGGCCCTCTCAGAGGCGCTGAGGTTGTATCCGGGCAACCAGCTGCTTTGGAGGTGTTATGTACAGATTCAAAATAAGTCCCACAGTGCCAGTAAGACCCGAAGATTCTTCGATGCCATCACCAGGTCTGCCAAACCCTTGGAGCCTTGGTTGTTTGCCATAGAAGCCGAGAAAATGAGGAAAAGGCTGGTGGAAACGGTTCAGAGGTAATCGCAGGTCACCGTGATCGTGTGTCAACAACTTAGGGGCAAGCCATGTTCCCATCATCCTGCTCGGCCTCAGGACTATGAAACAAACGGGGTCCCCTGCCGGGAACAGGGGCCCAGGATGGTGGCTGTCCCCAAGGCCACAGTCTCTGGGTCTTTTATGTTTAAGGCCCCCAGGTGTGACCGTCAGGCCTTACAGGAGCTGAGCTGCTATCGTGAAAGCACCGTGGTCGAGCACAGTCTCCTGGGGTGGGGTCTGGGCCCCAATCCCGGATCTTCACCCACCAGCCGTGAGCGTCTGGATGTGGTCCTGGCGCCCTGTGGGTTCCCCGTCAGTGACATGGAATAACCAGCCCCTCAGGGCTGCTGAGTGGTGGGGGCGGAAGCGCGTAATCCTGAGAGCAGCCTTAGCGTTACTGATGGTGACAGGTGTCAGGTTTTAAATGTCACCTTTGGATGTGTCTTTGTATCTGTTAGTTAAAAGTCTGGGGAACATGCTTGGTTCAGCATCATTTCGTTCCTTCTGGAATCTTCATTGCTGCTACCCTTTGACCTAATTGATAGGGCAGAATGGTCTCTGAATGGTGTTTCACTGTTTTCGATGACCCTTACTAACCCTGCTTAAATCGAAAGCTCTTTTCTTCCCATGAAGTCAGCTTTGCATCCTTGATCCCTTAGAGTAGGTCTTCTTGTTTTTTTAAGAAAACAGACACCGTGTGTGTGTGACGTCCGGGCAGACTCAGCGTGATGCTGAGGCCAGAGCCTGCATGCTGCCCCGACCCTCAGGTGTCACGTCGCGTCTGCACGCCACACCCCCGTCCAGGCCGCACGGCCCCGGGTGCTCTGATCCGTCATCGCTGACATTCGTCATCCCTGACGTGTTTGTCTCTCTTGCGATGGAAGGTGCGAGAACGTGTCTCGAGCAACCTGAGCCTTGTCTTGTAGGGTCGACGGTCGAGAGTTCCACGCCACAATCCCCGAGACTGGCCTGACACACCGGATCCGAGGCCTGTTTGAAAACGCCCTGCGGAGTGAGCACGGCAGCCAGTGCCCCCTGCTGTGGAGGATGTACTTGAACTTCTTGGTGAGCACCGGCGGGGGTTCGCTCTCCCTTCAGAGCCAGAGTGCAGGTGTGCAGTGGCTGTACCTGCAGAAGCTGGGACTGTTCTCACCCGCACACCTTGGCTCTGGTTATTATTTTTCAAGAACTCTGGTGGGATAACTCACGGGCTCTCAGCACTCGGGAAAGGCTCACAAGCTGCCTTTTTCTCAGGATGTAGGAGAGAGAGGAGCAGGCCCAGGTGGCTGGTTTGGGCAGAGGCCCAGAGCCTGAGTTTCCAAAGGAAGTTTCCTGTGTTCACGAGGTCTCGGGTGCGCTATCTGCCTCAGTTTCCAGGGCTCAGTACAGCAGAATGGCAGCCTCAGTGTCAGGTGTCAGCTCCCACTGCACGTGGGAAATGGCCTTTGGGGTGGTGGGAGGCTCACCTGGAGAGGGGGGCTCGCCTGGGGAGGGGGCTTACCTGGAGGCGGCAGCTCCGCCCCTCCCCAGCTGTCTGCTCAGTTTTGTGAGGGGCCCCGTTAATGCTGAGGTGTCCCCGACTGCCTGAGGAGACAGGCTTACCCAGCCGCCACGCTGTGGGGGGATACGTGTACTACGGACTCAGTTTTATTTCTGTTCTGATTTGGGGCTTTTACAAGGAGTCACGGTTTCTTAGTGAGCGATTTCGGAGGTGGGGACGATGGAGCGCCAGGGCAACACTCCTGTGCTCTTCCTATTTGAGGTGCTGCTGTAGTGAGAGTGAAAAGATGGCCGATGTGTCTTGGGACATGAAGTCGCGAATGGAAGAAAGCAACAGTCACGGTCAAGGTTGCAGCTGGTGTGGCCAGTTCATGAAGGACATTGCAGAGTTTTCATTCGAGGCCAGCCCGGACTTGGCTCTAGGATTATCTGTGAGGCTCACAGATGCAGTGGTTGGGGAGGACAGTACTCAGTGTTTGAAAAAACTAGGAGGAAAAGGAGTTTTGAATCTGTCATAGGACATGAATTTTGGCCGAGGAAGGTGGCGTTCACACTGGCTCCCCGGGGATCAGTTCGGAGGCTGGTGTCAGACTGGCTGAGGCTCACACCGGGGGGAGGGGGGGGGAATGCCCTGGCGTGGTGAGCTCTGCTTAGAGGTGGGTAGGCCCGAGCCTTGCCTGAAGCAGGCTTATCAGATGCTGGGTACAGCCCAAGGTCGGTCTTGATGACTGCAGGAGTCAATCTTTTTTTCTTCTGCACTAAAATGTTTTTATTCAGGTTATCAGTGATTCTCATTTTGCTAAGTTCAAGGTTACGTTTCTTTCATGAGTCTGAAAGGACTGGAAGGAGGGTGAGGCCTTGCTTGTAGCTAGAGCTCATGAGCAGCAGACCAGACGACTGGACACCGTGCACCTGCCCCCGGCGGGAGGGGCTGGCTTCTACGGGGAGGCTCCAGGGAGTCTGGGTGAGGTGGGAACCCACTAGAACCAGACTCCAGCTCCGTGAGCTCCCCTCATGCCCATTCACAGCAGGGCAGATGCCTCCAGCCTGGAGCTGCCCAGCAGGCTCTGGTTCCCCAGAGGAACTGCCAGCCAGTGACAGATAACCTTCCGGGGCTGCAGAGACCCCAAGGGAGGGGACACCCCACACCTCTGCAGCTCCACAACCTGCTGAGCATCTGCTGAGCATCTGCGCACCCTCAGACTGAGATCCTGAGCAAAACTGTTTTTCGCAAGATTACTGTTTTAGCAATTTCTGAGTTTCTTAGAAATTTAAGTGTTCAAACAAGTGTTTTCCATTTGGACAGTTAGCAGTGGGACAGTCAGCGGCCTGCCTGCAGCTACTGTCTGTTAGTACCACAGGGGGGGGGGTAGATAAGTGGTAAAGGTCACGTGGCCTGTGAGTGGAGGGGAACTGGTGCGACACAGCAGAGCCCCTGGAAGCCCCGGTGGCGCATGCGCCCAGGCCGTCCGTGGGGCTGGTCGTGCGAGGAGCCCGTGTGTGGACCAGCACATGGTGGCTGTTAGCGCCTCTTGCTTTCCCGATCAGCTCACTTCTGCACTTTATCCCCTCACGGCAGGTTTCCTTAGGAAATAAAGAAAGAAGCAAAGGTGTGTTCTACAAAGCGCTTCAGAATTGTCCCTGGGCAAAGGTAAGTTCCAGTGACCAGGGTGCTTCCTGGCAAGCCTCAGTCTACCCAGTGTCTGCCTGGCCTGTGTCTGGGGGTGGGGCACACCCCCTTTCCCTGCTCGGAGCTCGTCTCAATGGGGGCCTCCAAGCGGATTCCCCAAGATTTGTCCAACGTTCAGCCCAGATGCTGAAAGCGTCGGGACTCATGCCCCAGCCCCGCTTTGCAGAGCCCAGTTCAGGAGACATTTGGAAGTCAAATTGGGGGTGGCTGTCATGGTGCCACTTTGGGGAAGCCTCAGCTTTGAGGTGCTGACCTGCACCCCGAGTGCAGTGCCCTTCCTGAGGCCAGCCTGGCCCCCCTTGGGCAGCGAGGGAGCTGGCTGACCGGGGCGGTCCTTCCCCCAGGTGCTGTACATGGACGCCGTGGAGCACTTCCCCGACGAGATGCAGGAGATCCTGGACCTGATGACTGAGAAGGAGCTGCGGGTGCGCCTGCCTGTGGAGGAGCTGGAGCTTCTGCTCGAGGACTAGGGGCCAGGAGGGCCGCAAGGCCACGCCGGAGCCAGGTGACCATGGAGCCTGTGGGAACCTCTGCTGTGGAAGCTCCTTGTGACCCCGTCTGGGTTAGCAGTCTCACCGTACACACGTTTTGGATGTGTGCGTGACACACCGGCGGGTATTGCATATTATATATGTGAACATGTGTGCACAGAGATGACTTCGTGACGCTGGCTGGCGTGAGCTCGTTGGTTCCGTCCTCTGCTCAGTCAGCGCCTGCCAGGGTGACTGCACCTGTTGCTCCCTGGCATCCCACATTCCTCTGGGTCTCCAGTTGAGGTCTGAGGTCAGTTTGGATTTATTCAGCACTAGGACCTCCCACCCTGGGCTGCTTGAGGTAACACTTTCCCTTACCTTCAGAGCGGCAGGGAGTCAGTCACTTAAAACTGGTGACCCCTCCTGCATTCAGTGTATCACTGCTCCCCGAGACCTGCACTTGGTGACCCCTCCCCCTGCGGGCCAGCAGTCACTGGGGCTCCTTAGGAATGTCGGTAGGTCCGCGAAGGCAGTCTGCCCAGGCCAGGACTCCCACGGACTTGTGTGCACACTGCAGCATGGAAAGCACTGGAGAATCAAGGGCCCGCATGCCGGGACCACCTCAGAGCTGAGCAGGGCCCAGAGCCAGCACCTTGACTGCCTGGTGCATGTTTGGCTTGGCCCTGGTGTGCTTTAAACAAAAAAAGTCCAGACCGGCCACATTCTTGATTTCTGAAGGCTGTGAATGGATGTAGTGTGAGTATCCACACTCAGACCATTTCCTTGGAAAAGATTTTAGTACCTGCAGTCATTTTCACTGGTAGAGCAATTTCCTCATAACCACTATTCTGAAGTTCTGTAGAAGTAGACAGCCACCATGATTTTAAAAGCAAATCATGACCTCTAAAAACTTACATTTCTTTGGTACCTTGTCCAGAAAAGCCAGTGTCACGAACTTAGGCTAGAAAGGACGTCGAGAGCGCTGGGAAAAGAGCAGCACCAGCCCTTTCTAGGGCCCCGCTGCGGTCAGCCAGCCAGGCAGGCAGACACCTCCGAGCAGCGGACTACTGGGAAGGAAAGAGAGTGAAGCGGAGGCAGGAAGGCGAAGCTCTGTGTTGCGCGCCCTGAGAAGGGTCAGGTTTCCGACCCCAGTGAGGGCAGGCAGGCCAGTCTTCAGCCTGTGCAGATTTCTCTGAGGAACCTCAGGCTCGTGCAACACTCGTGCTTGCTTTTCTTGTTTCCAGAGTGCTGAGACCCACCGCTGTGCCTAGAATTCCTGAGGAAAAGCTGTTTTCCTCCTCCTGAAGCCACATGAACCGAGCTTTGTTGCCTAGAGAGCAGACCGCCAGCCACGCCCTGCTACCCTGGGCCGCTGCTGTGCGTTCAGCCGCATGCCAGGGTGTGACTCGGGCAGCAGGGGCTAGGTCTGCACTTGGTGATCACCCAGATGCTCCCCAACACACGCCCTGCCCACTTGCTGAGTGGCAGGTGAGGAGGCGCCAGAAACAGGTGAGGTGTTGAGAAAGAGCACGCTTTATTGCGGTCACTCACGTGACTGACAGACGGAAGCAGCCCTGTGGGCACACTACACCATGCTCAGAAAGGGACACAGCACGTCTGCTAAAAAGATTCAAGTGGAACGTGGATTCCTTTGGGCAACTTCCCCCACCTCCTCCCTCAAGGGGTCAGAACACTCCCCGCCATCTCCTGACAGGCAACTCTGACTGGCTAGAGATACAGCCCCTCGGGGGTGCCTTCTTGCTTTTTATAAAGAACATTTTCTTTAGATTTTTTGAAATCTTCATTTGTTACTTTCATTCTACGTTCTCTTAAGGCCATCAGACCAGCTTCCGTACAGATTGCCTGTAAGAAAGAACAGTATGTTCAGAATCAAATTCTTTTTATTTTTAGTCTAATAAGTAACTGAGAGAGAGCTATTCTGAAATAAGATATAAAACAATCAGACTAGAAACACAGTGTTCAAACCATCTGGGAAAATACTACATGTTGAATTTCAAGCATTCTAATTATTTTCTTCAAGGATCTGCGGTGGCTTAAACTGGTGTGTTAAGGAAGAGGCCTGGCCCAGGAATAGAGGCTTCAGGTTCCAACCAGCTGGATGGCCTGACCAAAAAGTTCTCAGAGCCGTGCATGTGTCTGAGTAATAAATATTCCTAGGAAATATGGGATCATACCTGGGAGCAATGCAAAGTCTATTTCTGAGTCATGAGAGACACATTAACGTTTTGATACAGTAACCGTAAACCCGTGCAACACAGTGCCATGAGAACATGAGTCCTGGCACTGAAGTCATCTCCCTACAGCCACCCGGACACCTGATTTCAAGGGCTCACAGAAAGGCACTGCCTCCCTTCAGCACAGGCGTCAGAGTGGGCAGGCTGCACGAGCGCCGTCTCTGCTGGCCTGGATCTACCCTGAAAAGCCAGTTCTCGCAAGATGAGCAGGCGGTGCCCATACCCACTGCCAAGCTCGCTGGTCGTCCTAACACACACGGGAAAAAACCAAGAGATACAAACTGGGACCTGAACACAGAGATGCCCATGCGTGCCCTGCGGCTGTGGGGTGACTTCTCCCAGCCAACGGTTCCTCCCTGACCTGGGCCTGAGCAACTAGCTCTGACACCCCTGACAGTCACCTGGGCTGAGAAGAGGCTACAGCAAACTCAGTGCCAGGGATTCAGGCTTGTGGCCATAGTAGACTATGGTTAGTTATTTCCTGAACTACTTCGAAAGCTAATCTACCATTTGCGCATAAGGAAAGGTGACCTGACAATTAAAACCCAGACAAGCCACAGACTGTTTGACCATCACCCCAAAAGTACATCCCAACTGAAGGGGCCCAACCAGCCCAGGTTTTCACCTTGATGTCGGCACCAGAGAGGTCATCTTTAGCCATGATCAAGTCATCCAGGGTGACATCATCAGCCAGTGTCATCCGGCTTGTGTGAATCTGAAAGATGCGCTTCTTAGTCTTTTCATCGGGCAGGGGGAACTCGATCTTCCTGTCAATGCGGCCTGCAGATACAAAAGGTTTTCAGTCACGCCCCCAGAGGGAGGCTTTAGCTCCCTCTTCACACACACACTGCGGTTCCAGCCAGTGTCCTGTGGGAAAGATGTCCAAATCGTAACAAGCTCACATTTGTTTCTGTTTGTCATTTTCTACACCACATCCTTCCCATTTAAAGGAAATGTGTTTTCTCTGTACCTTTGGAAACAAAAGAAAGGATTGGTCCCTGAATGATGTGTTTTAGTGGAAAAGGACATATGACGCTTATTTAAAATATTACAGGAGAGTACACAAATCAGCCAATCACTGCTAATCATTGCTACCTCAATGCAAAAAATATACCACGAGCTCAAGAATTTCAGAAAAAAGATGGGATTCAAAGAGCTGAGCCACAGATGACGTCAAGCTCTTCACCATGATCTCAAGAAGACATGGTTCTTGTGAACTCGTCCATTTCGGAAGAGTATTTCCCTTGTGTGTACCGTCTTACACCCGAGGGCACCTGATGCGCCACAGCAAGACAGAAGCAAACCGACCTGGTCTGATAAGTGCGGGATCCAAAGTCTCTATCCGGTTTGTGGCCATGATGACTTTCACATCTCCCCTTGAATCAAACCCATCCAGCTGGTTCAACAGTTCCAACATTGTTCGCTGAATTTCTCTCTCACCACCAGAATTTGAGTCATATCTTTGGAAAAGAAGAGCAAAAGGAGTGACATTAATCTCTTTCAACATTCTGGTGTCGGCTTTCTGACCAAGTTAAATATCACAGTATTTCTTCGTGGCAATTTCCACGACTAAAATTCTGTCTCCACGTCTGGGGTATGATCCCCGAATCCGACTGTGAGCACCTCAGGGCAGAGACTGCAGTCGTGGCTGGGTGCCCGGGTCCAGGTGGTGCCTGGCTCAGTCTCCAGGCATTCCCAGTTCCTGGACAGTTACAACCTGGCCCTCGGGAAGACGGCCTCAAGCAGCCAGAGGGCACGTACAGCAGGAACCGCGCCGCACACCCGACGTGTAGGAAAAGCATTGTTGCCTCTAAGCACTGCCAAAGCCGTGAGGGAAAGGTTACCTTTTTGTGCCAATGGCATCAATTTCGTCAATAAACACGATGGAGGGCGCGTGCTCCTCAGCAACCCGGAACAGTTCCCGCACAAGCTTGGGCCCATCGCCGAGGTACTTCTGGATAAGCTCTGAGCCAACCACTCTCAGGAAAGTGGCTGAGGTTTGGTTTGCTACTGCTTTGGCTAACAAGGTTTTACCTATTTTAGATTAAAAAACAAGAAAACCCTTTTAAATGTGAAAACTCTTACTACCACTTTCAGTGGGCAGCTCTCGAGATGAAAGGACGCCAACATCCAGGTGTCCTGCCATTCTAGTTTCCAAAGCAGGTAAGAGGAGGTTTATTCCAGGTTGCCTGGGTTAACCTAACACATTCTTCCCAGGATCAGAGAACCAAACAACATTTCCATGAAGCGCTCAGCGCTCAGGTTTGACCGGAAGGGGCATCCTCGGTGTAACTGAGCACCCTAGTTGGCCCAGAGTAGCTGCTGGGTGAGCTTGCCCCGGGCTCAGACGAGACTTTTCTCAGTCTGTGGTGTGCCCTTAGAAGGAAGTTCTTCTCACCCATCTCAGGGAAGACCTCATACATTTCCGGTCTTGCTCTAGTCTCTGGTATTTCTCTTTCAGATCAAAAACAAATCAGCAAAGAGCATTCTGAGAATGTAAGAGCTGGAAAACCTTTGTGACAGTGAGCTCTGTGTGGTCACGTCTAGAGAGAGCAGAGCTGGTAAAAAGCCAACTCGAGGTCTGAGGAGTAGGCGGAAGCCAGGTAGTGTCACAGATGACTATGGATCAGTTTTTAGTAATGCTCCCTTAGGCAGGCAGTGTAGCAAATACACAGGCAGGCTATTCTGAGAGCATCAGCTAAGGATGGCAAAGGACAAACAGGAACTTCCTAAGTGTACAGAATCTTGGCCAGAGGTCTCCTGTTCCCTCGGCCACCGCCCTAGCCCTCACAGCGTGGTCCCCAGAGGGGACATGAGGCTGCAGGTCAGGCGGCCTGCATTCCTGCTCCAGGCCTGCTACATTTGGGCAGGTCACTGCCTCTCGGAGTGTGATTTCCTAGCTGTAGGATGACAGGCTGCAGCAGCTCCAAGGTGTGTACAGCTGTTTCCTTGGGCCTCCAGGGAAGGAGACTCAGATCAACACGGACTCCCACACACTCTGAAGTCACGCGAATGACCACTTCTCTTTGGAATTTACATACTAGTGAATTACTAAGTCTTAGACTGTACAACTCAGAACAGCTTTCTACACGATGAATCAAGCATATATGTGGGTTTTATCTTTACTGTTATATTCAGTACTGACGGACCAAGCAAATGAACTTAAGCCAAACACCACAAAATAGCTGTTAAATCGATGGCTCTCCATCATGGCTCTCATGCTTGGCCACACAATGCAGAGAACCTTCAGGGATAGAAGGGTTTTTTTAAAGCTCCCAAGGAGACTCCATATACATTAAGGCTGAACGCTCTTTACTTCTTATAAGTTATTTTTTTTTTTTAAGATTTATTTATTGATGCACACAGAAGTGGGGTACAGGGCAGAGGTGCAGGGGCAATGAGAGGACTCACCAGAGACAGAGTGGGGAGCAGAACAGACTGACTGACGGAGTACACTGCAGAGGGGAGCAGCGGGCAGTGCAGGAGAGGTCTGCTGTGCCATGAGGGTCACTTTTCTAGCTAGGGACTGAACTCGTGCTGACGTGGCTGAGTCTGGCTGAGTAGTGCTGTGCTTTAACCTGATGCACCACCAGAGAGGGCCCTAAGTTATTCTTAATAGGCGCATAATACTCAGAAATATTTGAAAGTATTGCTTTACAGCCTATAAATCTTGTATTTGATTAAACATAGTAAAGAAGTTCTTGAATTGTAAATGTGTCCACACTGAACAACTGGGGGTGGGGTGGAGCCCACTGGTGCTTTCTTTTTGTTGCAGTCCCTACTACTGTTTTTAACACATCAGCTCTGATATCTATAAGTAAGTTCAAGATAGTTAGGGTTCTTAGTTCCTCCACTATACAGATTAACATACTTTTGTGTAACACATTCCTATCTAAAAATGTCCCATATGTAGCTTTGAGCGCACTATTTTAAGGATTATGGCACCCTCATGTCTCAACAGATCAGTAGTGAAAACAAGCTGAGTACCCAGAAAGTGTCCAACACAAAGCATACATACCTGTGCCAGGTGGGCCATAGAGAATGACCCCCTTAGGGGGCTTTATACCCATCTCTTCATAATACTCAGGATGAGTGAGAGGAAGTTCTACAGATTCCTACAGAACACAAATAGTAAAAACGAAAGGTTTTGTTAACTGAATTAGCAGCAGCACTATTAACTGGCATTGAGTAACCACCCTTTAAACTAAGCTAAAACTCGTCAGAGACAACGTGCTTGACTTCAGCCAGTGGCAGGACCCCTGAGCTGTTCGAGCTCCCATGGCTTCTTTCTGACGGTAGTTTCCCTCTCACTTTCCAGTAGCAGTAAGGCTTCTTGAGCAAAAGCAACTTCAGAAAGCTTAAATTCACCTTTTTTAACTAAACTACAGATAGGACCTTGAAAGATTTTCTGATCGCTGTCGCCACGTAGGAGAACGTGAAAGCTATTTCCCAGCTGAGTCACCAGCTGGGATCTAGGGCTGTTCTGAGTCACATAACCTGCTAGAAGTTGGCCCCAGCACCTGAACTTCATTCCCTAGCCCCCTGGACCGCAGCTGGGCCCATGCCCCAGATGCCATCTACAGGCCTGGCAGTTTACAGATAGCAGCAGCTAATCAACACAATTGCAAACATCTCACACAATTACTAAACTTTACTATGGATAAAAAGTATCAAGCACACTTTGTAAGAACGCTTATACAACTTATTTCTATTATCTAACTCAGTAGCAACAAACTCAAATACCCCAAATGACAAACAGTTACTGATCTGACTGACCAATAAAGACATCTAAAAGAACTCCAGACATCCTAAATAAGGTAACAGTAAGAAAACAAAGTATAAAAACCCAGAGCTCATTCCCAGACACACACCTTAATTTCCTGGATTTGGTTGTCCAACCCCCCAATATCAGCATAGGTCTCTTGGGGGGCCTTTTCCACCTTCATCACTGTGACCAGTGGATCCGTGTCATCCATCAGCACCCCTATCACAGCATGCACCTATCAGGGAACATTAAACTTTAACACAGGAACATGGAGTTCACACAACCCATGTACAAAAAGCAATTCCAATCACAGAAGCCCTAAATTGCTTTGGCCACTGATTTCCACAGGACAGTGGACGATCTAAAAGGGAGAAGAGCCCTGCCAGGGGCTTCCTTAGAGCCCACCAACTTACCTTGTGGTTGAGCAGGACTGAGCAGCCTGGTTCTAGCAGATCCTTATCTACAAATGAGAGAATGCTGACGTAGTGTTCAGAGCCCACAGATGTAGACACGATGGCGTGATTGTCATCTATGATCTCTTCCAAGGTTCCTACTGACATTGGGGTCCCCCTCAGATCATCCACCTTTGATCTTTCCTCCTATGTAAGGGTATGCCATGAAGGAGAAGCAAATTAGCTAAAAAGTAGGTGAACACTGAACTGCTAGATTTACAGAACAGCTGGCGCTTTTAAAGGAAGCTAGTCAGGGTTCATTAAGTCAAAAGGTCAGCTAACAAACTCCATTTAACCACCGACAGTTTTAGGTTCTAAGAATTTGTGAAGATGAAAGTTGTAATAGCTTTCAATTTACCTCTTGTTTTTCTTCTAAAGGCTTCATTTGTTCCTGATTTCTAATGAATTCTTCTTCCATCAGAAGATAGTCTTTAATTCTCTCTAACTTCAATAATTTTAACCGGCACTGAGTGTGGGGTGTCACTGTAATTGAAAAATAAAGTTTTGTTACTTTTTGGAGCTTGATATTTGCAGTTGACTTTTATTAGGGAAAAAGACTTAAAAATTAAGCTTATTTTAGTTGGACAGAGTAAGGAATTCAGTGTTTGGTGACTTCAAGGACTTCCCCAACTACAAAGTGGGGAAAGGATTCTGACAATTACAAGTGAGCATGCTAAGACTGAAGCTGGGTTTATAAGCAAACAGCCTAATCAAACATAACATCTGAACGTGTGCCCATATAAAGGAGAGGTCACTGACACAAAAATGGTGTCTTGGTTTATTTTCCCCATAGATGCAAACAAAAATAGCTACACCTGCTGCTAGTTAGTACACTGTTGCATGCTAGCTGCAATATACTTGCATCCATTTGTAGAACTGTCGACTTGAGGCATAGTAACCTATGTGGCATCTCCACACTGTTCTTAGGCCTGAAGTCTAACTCTACACAGAATTTTAATATTTATACAGACAAATCTGTCCATCTTTCCTGGTTTCTGTGTTTGACTCCTTCAAAGGTCTCTCTTCCCCTAAGGTTTAGGAAAAATATTCCTGAATTTTCATTTATTTACTTTTTTCTTTTGTTAGCTGTAATAATCCGGCAAAAGATGTCTCATTTTCTCTGAAGAGTAAATAAAGGATATCCGGCATTTATATTAAATAATTCGTCTCTACAGAATTGAAATGCCACCTTTACCTTCTATTAATTATCCATGTAACTTGATTTTGTTTGGGGATTTTCTTTCAGCAAGTGGACCATCTAGTCTCTATCAGTGCCATAATGATGTACTGCAGATTTTCACTGAGTCATTGCAGATGGTACACTTTCATCTCAACAGGAAGGGACTTGTTTAGTGAGAGTGAGGTAGGTATTTGAGCTGTATCTAAAGGTCTCCGTAGCTAGAGGGATGAGAAGCAGGCAGTGAGGAGGACTGCTTGCCCTGGTGAGTGGGCAGGACCTGGGGCAGGCCAATGTGACTGACGAGCAAGGGGGGCAGCTGGGGCTGCAGATGGACAGGGGGGCTGGGTCAGGGCACGGGTCTGAGCTTTCATTTGCGCTCAACAGGAAGTCATCAAGTCTACATGCGGACACGGCACGATGTGAATTCCGGTAGTGGCATTCTACTTCTTCATGAAGTGAATGCTTTTCTAAGTTACTCAAGCTGAACCTGAGTGTTCTAATCTAAAACTGTACTTGAAATACACTAGAAGAACTGGCAACTGATGGGGTATACTGTGTAAACAAAACATAGCTTTTATTTCACCCTAGAGAAACGCTGCTTCCAAGAATTAGGGAGAATAGTCTTAGACACAGCGCTTTAACCACCCTTATTTTGGCTTCCACCCCACACCGCTAAGCTACCACCTACAGAGACGACACCCCCGGGATCAGAAAGACCGCAAGGGACCATGGCATTACCCAATGGCAGTTTGCTGGCGGCATCTGGTCCCTTTGTCTTCTTCTTCTTTTTCCCCACTCTAGTTGGCACTGGAGGTTCATATTTTTTCTTCTTGTCCTTGAGTTTTTATAAGAGCAGGAAAAAAAATTACATCGAAATCATATTAAAACACTTATTTCTGTAGGACCACTATCAATTTCCAGCTGATAGTTTTCCATTCCTGTATTTTAATAAGTGAATGTAACTGATGTTTTTATAATTCACGATGACAAACACCTCAATAAGTAATGGAGAGGTCCGAATTCAATTATATACTCAGTTTGATACTGAATCACTTGTGACGATTCTTCATAGTTTAGGATATTAAACACCAAACTACAAGCAATTTACTTTAACGGCAATTTAAATTTTTTTAAAAAGATTTATTTGTGCATACAGAACTGGGGTACCGGCCAGAGACGCAGGAATGGCGAAAGACTTCACCAGAGCCAGAGTGGGGAGCAGAACAGGCAGATCGATGAAGTACACTGCTGAGGGGAGCAGCGGCTGCGTCAGGAGAGGTCTGCCACGCCATGTGGTCACCTCTGGGGCAGGCGAGAATTGAACTCATGTGGAAGTGGTTTCAGCTTCTTAGTGCTGTGCTTTAACCCGCTGCGCCACCAGGGAGGGCCGGCAATTAAATTTTAATTACTTAATGTCATTACTTTTGAACATTTAGAAAACACTAACTCACAAAGACCTATAGGACAACTACTTCAATAATCTTTTCTAAAACACAAAGAGGATAGTATATTTGTAGGCCAAACTAGTAAATAAGTACAGGATTTCTTTTGTTTTTAAATTTTGAGTCCCCAAAGATCTCAGCTACAACCTAATGACAAAATTTCCATTATTTACTCATATGACATATTTGGCTTATTTACCTTGTCGTCCTTCTTGCCACCTCCAGGACCATGTCCACCACTCTGACTTTGCCCCTGGGGTGAGGTGGAGGGAGATCAGACAGACAAAGAATATGGTCACTTTAAATCAACATTCTTATTTTCCTGTGATTCTAAGATACCTACATTTTCCCCTCACCCTAACATTTCTGATGAGTTTCTGACAAGTGAGACAAATTTTTTTCTGAAAAGTTATTAGGTCAGTGTTGTGCCTTGCAACCAGCTGCAACTTATTATCAAAGTCAGCTCTACTAAGAAATAGATCTATCACAATGAGGCTAAGAGCACCCCTTCTTAAGGAGAAGGTAGAGAGTTTGACATTCTTTTTTAAAAAGATTTACTCATTTATGCATAGAAGAACTAGGGTACAGGCCAGAAGTATGGGGGTGAGAGGATTCACTAGAGACAGAGTGGGGAGTAGAACAGGCAGATCAACTGAAATACACTGCTGAGGGGAGCAGAGGCAGGGACAGGAGAGGTCTGCTGGGCCATGTGGCTCACCTCCCTGGCCAGGGATCGAACTCTTGCTGCAGTGGTTGGCAATAGCTCTGTGTCTTTATCCCTATGCTCCCAGGGAGGCCCCAAATTTGACATTCTTTAATATAAAACTACTTCACAGAGGTCACCACGAGTATATTTCCACAAAATTAGGCAATCATTTGTTCCCTACTAAAATTATACTTTTAACAACCTCTATACTTTCCAGCCCTAAAGCCTAAGGCTCTTAAGCAGATTTCCCCCCAAACCTGAGTTATTTAATCACCTTAAGGTATTAAGAAGCTATGCAAACTGTAACCACAGTGAGATATCACCTCACACCTGTTAGAATAGTTAATTATCAAGTAAACAAATAAGAAAAGTGTTGGCAAGGATAAAGAGGAAAGTACATTGGTGCAACACGATGGGAAACAGTATGAAGATTCCTTGAAAAATTAAATACAGAATTATTCTAAGATCCAGCAACCCCACTGGAGTATTTTAAAATAAAATAAAACTCATGCAACCTAATGTTTACTGTAGCATTATTTTCAAGAGCCAAGATATGGAAACAACATAAGCAATCCACTGATGAGTGGATACGTAATATATGTGTATACACACAGCGTCATATTATTCAACCATAAAAAAGCAAATCTTGCTATTTGCAACATGAATTGGACCTTCAGGGTATTATGCTAAGTGAAAAAAAAAATCAGAAAAATACCATAGTTTTCACTTATGTGGAATCTTAAAAACAAAATGAAATTGAGCTCACAGATGCAAAAATCAATTGGTAGTTGCCAGGTGGGGGTGGACAAAAAAGGTGAAGGGGTCAAAAGATTATTATAAAATAAAGCATGAGGATATAATGCATATATAGTGGCCATAGTTAACACCGCATTGCACCCGTGGAAGTCGTTCTTAAAAGTTCTCATCACAAAAAATATATTTGCCTCTTACTATGATGATTATTTACCTATACAAATACTGAATCAATTAAGAACATGGTGTAAAATAAAACTCATTAGATTTTGGGTTTCAAAATAGACCTTTAAATTACAAGACAATGCTTAACACACAGCAATGCCTCATAAAACAATGACTCTTAAACATGAGTAACTGAATTTACTTGATCAGAGGGGTACTCTCAATTCCCTCAGATAACTCCATGAATGCACCCCTAAATTTATTCACTGTCAGCTTCATTATCAAGACAAAAACCATAACCACCACAGCTACCTAAAAGAGAGCTAAGGTCAAATGTTAGCCCTTGTGGAGGATTTGTGCTTTCTTCCCAATAAGATAATGAAAGGCTCTGAGAAACTTTGGGAAACACAACTAGTTATATTGAAATGGGTCATCCAAATTGCATGCTTTAGCAATTATGTAAACAACCTAAAGAAACTTGCTGAAGACTGGGGGAGCCAATGTGGGTGAAACGATTACTACGTGCCCAAGTACTAGACATCCCCCTCCACCACCTCATTAATTCCAGAGAACCGTTCCTGATAGGGCTCATTTCTCCCACTTTCTGGATGAAAAAAAAAAAAAAATCTGTGGCACTAGATGTATCCAGCTTTGATTTCTAGCTGTCTCTTACAGGCTAGGTGACCTCTTAAGTCAGGTCACCTCCCTCGTGTCCTTAGCTGGAAAACAGGGATGTTACTATTACTAGTTCTATCCCTTCCTGAAAGTAACGGATAGGAACTAGTGACATTAAGTAGTAACATTAAGTACATCACTTAGCATCCATATGACTCACAGTAACTAATACACTGGTAAATAGAAGCTGTCAGGGTCAGAATTTTAATTGTTAGTCTGATTACAAAATCTGGGCTCCAAAATACTTCAAATTCATTCTCTTGCACTCACCCATATCTCATTTATCCTCCCGTCTGTTTGTGTCTAGCCAAAATCTCTACTTGGACTCTAGCCCCTCCACCGAGATTCTGGGTCCAACCTATCCCCTCATCCACCCAGCTATTTACTTTCTAAAATCAATACCTGATCCTTGTATTCTCCTTCACAAAAACCTTCAACTGCTCCCTAGCATTCATGGTGAAATGCCCAAGCTCTTTAGCTTAGCACGGTGCATGGCCCTTGCCAAACTGGTGGCAACAAGCCTGCCCAGGTGACTCGCCCTTTTTCATGACCCCAAGCCTGGCGGGAAAGGATGTATTCCTGCGTGGGTTCTGAACTTCATCTCGGCAGCATTTTACATCACTTTCCTCTGTCTCAAATAACAGGAATACTGTTGAATTCTCACAGATGCCAAGCAGTTTACTAAATACCGGAGGTCTCTCATTTAGTTCCTAGACCCTGAAGTTGGCTATCAGCACCTAATTGGTAGGTAAGGAAACCAAGGCCCAGACAAATTCAGTGACTTGCCCACTGTCGCCAAGCTCGTCAGACAAGGAGCCAGACCTGCGGGACACCTGTGCGTCTCCCTGCTCATGCCTCCCCAGCACAGCACAGCAGAGATTAGAGAAAAAGACGGTTTATGTTCCGACAGCCACACACCATGTCTCAGTTTCCTCCGTGCTGAAGGGAAGCTGACCATTAACTCAAGGAACCGGTGTTACAACAGGCCAAGCACATTCCCACCTCGGGCCCTTTGCACTCGCAGTTCCTCCCGCCTGGCGGCTTTCCCCGGATATTCCACATGGGCCTCTCCCGTGTGGATGCCTGCTTGGGTGGTGGGGCCTTCGCCGACACCCTGTGAGAATGGCCGCCCCTGTCCATCCCGTGGCTTCCCACGAAAGGCAGAGAGTACAGCTACGCCACCCGTCTCTGCTCCACTCCCAGGCAGATTTCATGTCTTTCTTGTCGGCCTGCCTCCCCCAGAAGATCGGCGCCCCGCTGGCAGAGACGCCCTCACCCCTGCTTCCCCCTTCACACCCTCCGTGCCTGGAACAGCGGGGGATTGTACAGGAGTGCGGCTGCTCGAGGAGCGCCTGTTCAGCAAGCTAGTGAGTAAACGCTGCATTGCAATACGCGAAGCCTCGAAAATGGGAAGAAATCAGAAACAGAACAAGGTCCTGCACCATTCCACTTCAGGGCACTGACGTGACAGCAACAAACACACAAGCTCGAACAGAAACTCGCACTGGAGGGGCCTTTCCCCTGCGTTGTCCCGCCGTCCGTCGTCACGGCCGCCTTCAAACGCCCCCCGCGCCCTGCCCTCCCGGCTCGGCCGGCCC